TGAAGATTGACATATGCAGTCCAGTGTAGCATGGAACACAAAGACCTGTATATTGGGAAGCCAAAATAGGCACTGAACAAACAAATGGCCCAATATAAAATGGAAACGACAGTCTTTCCTACATCTTAAGAAAAGGGGCATTCTTTTCGAGGAGAGTGAGGTTGACTTTTTATACAGAGTTGGCAACTGGTTCACAAGAGGTATAAAACTGACCATGTCCGGAGGGGGGCTTCTACATTATCTGTCACTCACCTATAATGCCACTTCAACATCCCTATGCTGGCTATTGACAGCATTGGCGACATTGAAGGTCTCTGATGTCTCCATAAAGAGGACCTGTCAACTGCCCATGCTATCACATAGGTGGCTTGTTAGACTCATTTGGTATCAATAACGTTCTATAAAAAAGTCAAACATGTTAAAAGTAATTAAACAAAAATAATATTTTAAACACACCTCCTCACCCCCCCATATACAGTTGCAAGAAAAAGTATGTGAACCCCTTGGGATTACATGGAGTTTTGCATGAATTGGGCATAAAATGTGCTCTGAACGTCATCTAAGTCACAACAATAGAAGAACACAGTCTGCTGAACATAATACTACACAAACATTAGATGTTGCCATGGTTTAATTGCACATAACATGTAAACATTCACAGTGCAGGGAGGAAAAAAGTATGTGAGGCCCTAGCTTAATGACTTCTCCCAGAGCTAATTGGAGCCAGGAGTGAGCCAACCTTGACTCCAATCAGTGTGATGATATTGGATGTGTTGCTGACAGCTGTCCTGCCCTTAAAAACACACACACCTGTTTTGGGTTTACTAGTTTCAAGGAGCACTGTCTGATGTGAACCATGCCTCGCAGAATAGAGCTCTCAGAAGACCTACGATCAAGAATTGTTGACTTGCATGAAGCTGGAAAGGGTTACAAAAGTATCTCCAAAAGCCTTGATGTTCATGTGTCCATGGTAAGACAGACTGTCTACAAATGGAGAAAGTTTAGCACTGTTGCTACTCTCCCTAGGCGTGGTCATCCTGTAAAAATGACTGCAAGAGCACAGCGCAGAATGCTCCATGAGGTAAAGAAGAATCCCAGAGTGCCAGCTAAAGACCTACAGAAATCTCTGGAACATGCTAACATTTTTGTTGACACATCTACAATAAGGAAAACATTAAACAAGAATGGAGTACATGGGAGGACACCGCGGAGGAAGCCATTGCTGTCCAAAAAGAATATTGCAGCACGTTTGAAGTTTGCAAAAGAGCACCTGGATGTTCCACAGCACTACTGGCAAAATATACTGTGGACAGATGAAACCAAGATTGAGTTGTTTGGGAAGAACACACAACACTATGTGTGGAGAAAAAAAGGCACAGCACACCAACATCAAAACCTCATTCCCACTGTAAAACATGGTGGAGGGAGCATCATGGTTTGGGGCTGCTTTGCTGCCTCAGGGCCTGGACGGATTGTTGTCATTGATGGGAAAATGAATTCCAGAGTTTATCAAGACAATTTGCAGGAAAACGTGCGACCATCTGTCCGCCAACTGAAGCTCCACAGAGGATGGGTGATGCAACAGGACAATGACCCAAAGCATACAAGTAATTCAACAAAACAATGGCTGCAACAGCACAGAATACGCCTTCTGGAGTGGCCCAGTCAGAGTCCTGACCTCAACCCGATTGAAATGCTGTGGCATGACCTTAAGAGAGCGATTCACACCAGACATCCCAAGAATATTGCTACACTGAAACAGTTTTGTGAAGAGGAGTGGTCCAAAATTACTCCAGATCGTTGTGCAGGTCTGATCTGCAACTACAGGAAACGTTTGGTTGAGGTTATTGCTGCCAAAGGAGGGTCAACCAGTTATTAAGTCCAAAGGTTCACATACGTTTTCCTCCCTGCACTGTGAATGTTTACATGTTATGTGCAATTAAACCATGGCAACATCTAATGTTTGTGTAGTATTATGTTCAGCAGACTGTGTTCTTCTATTGTTGTGACTTAGATGACGTTCAGAGCACATTTTATGCCCAATTCATGCAAAACTCCATGTAATCCCAAGGGGTTCACATACTTTTTCTTGCAACTGTACATCCCAGTGTGTGGTGTAGGAGGTGTACGTGTATTTAAACATAAACTGCGCCACATATATGAGGTATTGCTGTGAAAGAGCGCAATAATTCTAGTTCATAGTTGACTATAATCTGATAACGTGTAAAGGCTTTTAAAGCATATCCTTTGGAGAATTTTGGGTACCATAGTTTTTCACAAGGACATGCAGTTTTAAGGCTTGACAGGTTTGGTGCTTATTTACTGGACACAGCCCCATCTTTTATATTTTACCCAAAAATGGACATTATATTGTGTTTTGCTCTAAAATTTATTTTTTAGTGTATTTTTTAGTGAAAATGTGTTTGTCAAAACTTGTACAAATATCGCATGATATAAAAAAATGCAGTTACTTCCATTTTAGCCTTTAGGCCCTCTGCTTTCAGAAAATAAAATATTGCTTGGTTTACAGTAATTTCCAACAAAAAAAATGTGAATTTTTAAAATGTGTGTGAAAAATAAAACAATTGGCCAGGTAGACAAGTGTTTAAATTTTTTTTTTATTTTTAGCAAGCATAGCATTGGCTAAGAAAGATTTAGGCCTTTATTAGACTTTATTAGCACTTCATACCATATATTAGAATGCTGGAGGGCAGAGTAAAATTGAACTGTTTGCCATTTTTGTTAAGCTTTAAAGTGGCTTCAAAATTCTATAAAATCAGAAAATTTTTTCTTTTTACATCCTAACCTACTGGTTCAGTTTGAGTTTCCTATAGGGCCAAAGGCTTCAAAAATGCTTCCTGCAAGCAATAATGTTTGGATCTGTTGGTAAACCAAGATTTTTACTTTGGGTGCAACGTTCTGTTATCTTGGTCCCACCCTGAAGGATTATTGCTTCATCCCAGTTGGCTATCATTGAGAAGGAGTGGGAAATTCAGGATTACTATTAACAGTAATCTTGTTTTCACAACTCCTTCATGACCACCTGTATCCCTCTCAATACCATAAGTAAGTGCTCTTCAAACACCCAGGAGGTGAGAGTGAGGCTTTTAATTTTCTTTGCGTGCTTCAGTCCTGATCACAATGGAGGATCTTTCACTCAGTTGGAGAAGTCTTTTAGAGGAGGAAGTGTAGGAACTAGATCACTGGGAGTAATTGCAGATTTCCCCATCTCTTTAGACACCAAGCACTGTTCTTAAAGAGTGTTTCATGGTTGTATGAAAATGAGCACCACAGACTTATGTATAAATTTTCATCTGTGGAAGTCCTCCAGTTTCTTGGCAATTGCACACTGAATTCCAAGATTTCTTTAAACCTGCCCAATAAGACTTTTCCTAGGTTGGGTTGTTAGTGGAAATTGTTATGGCGTTGTAAAATTATTGTTATAATGTAGCCTATTGCATGGCCTAGCAAGAAATTAGTTAAAATGATTGGAAATGACCAATTTTTTTTTCATTAAAATAACAAATATGTCATACTGGTCTTCTCTGTGCAATGGTTTTGCACAGAGCAGCTCCAATCCTTCTCTTATCATTCTGTACTGGCGCTTCATGCTCCCATCCCTCCACAGAGCGTGGCTCGGCTCCACCCCCCACTCCCTCCTCACTGTCTCTGGGCCAATATGGAGATTAGGAGCCGAGAGAGCCTCTGCTCTTGTGCACATTGCTGGATCATGATTGGGTTCAGGTAAGCATAAGGGGGGCTGGGGGGAGCTGCATGTAGAATGCATTAAGGTGAAAAACCTTCTGCCTTTAGAACCACTGTAAGTAGCAAATAGACAGTAAGGAACAAGGTAAGGATAAGATGTGTTCTAGCTACAGTTTATATTGGACTGTAGCATTCTCTGAAGTCTTGTTCCAATTACCTTGGTCAGAAAACGTTTTTTTCTTATGTTCTTATACTTTATATCATTTCGTGCCCTTGCAATACAGTTGAGAACCCCTAGAGTTGTGATCAAGCCTGGTCCTGACAGCCTGTCGTCTTACACTAGATTTTATTTGTGGATCACAGAAAATTGAATTTGCTATTAAATGTGACCTTTACACATTTAGAGGATGTTTCCTTTTTCTTTTTTTTTTTTTTACCTCTTTGTTCCTGTTTTGGAAGCTGGTGTATTATGAAAACTGATATGGATTTTGAAACTAGCTTCATTGATTTTGTATTCTGTTGGCTTTGAGGTTTAAAGCTGAGATAAAATGCCAAACTTCTGCATATCCAAATATTTGCTTTAATTCTAATGGCAACATTTGTATGAAATCTTGTGACATCATATACCAACTGAAGTCTGTTTGTGGGCTCATTGATGCTATCCATGTTGCAAGAATATGTTGAAAGCCTTGTGCTATAGTGTCTTTGAGCAGAAGTCAGCAGATATCTCCCTTGTCTGGACACATGATTAGCTCATTGCAAGTGCTAAGGGGGTAATTCATTTTTGGACAGTACCCCAAATTTTAAAGTTTGTTTTCTGTTCAGGAAGAATTATTAAAGTTGTCATGATGTAACTGTATGCATGTACATATGCATTTGTCTACAGTTATCTAGGCAATTCTAGCTTAACCCCTTGCCTACAGGGCACTTATACCCCCTTCCTGCCCAGGCCAGTTTTCAGCTTTCAGTGCTGTCGCACTTTGAATGACAATTGCGCGATCATGCAACACTGTACCCATATGAAATTTTTATAATTTTTTTGAGACAGAGCTTTCTTTTGGTGGTATTTAATCACCTCTGGGTTTTTATTTTTTTGCTAAACAAACCAAAAACAACTGAAAATTTTGAAAACAAATTTTGTTTATCTTAGTTTTTGTTATAAAATTTTGTAAATAAGTGATTTTTCTCCTTCACTGATGTACTCTAATGAGGCTGCAGTGATGGGCACTAATAGGCTGCACTGATGGGCACTGATAGGTGGCACTGATGGGCCTTGATGAGGCACTAGTAGGTGGCACTGATGTGCATTAACCGGCATCACTGATGGGCACTGAAAGGCAGCACTCATATATGGCACTGATAGGTGGCACCGATAGGCAGCACTGACTGGCAGGGCGGCACTGATAGGTGGCACTGACTGGCACTGATAGGTGGCACTGACTGGCACTGATAGGTGGCACTGACTGGCACTGATAAGTGGCACTGATATGTGGCATTGATGTGCACTGGTAGGCACTGATACATGGCATTGATGAGGCACTGATGGGCACTGGCAGGTGGCATGGATGAGCACTAACAGCTGGCATTGATGGACACTGACAGTTGACACTGCTGTGGCTACACTGATCATCAATGCCCTGATGATCAGTGTACATGTCCCCTCTGAGGAATGCCGATTACTGGCTCTCCTCTTGAGCTGTCAGTGTGACAGCTCGTGAAGAGAGAAATGCTGATAACCGGCATTTCCTTATTTACATGTCATCAGCTGTGATTGGACACAGCCGATCACATGACCGAGCCGACATCTTCGGCTCTTTCTCTTGACCCGCTGACACAGTGCACCACCAAATCGCCGCGTTGCACGCTCCCAGAGCCACACAGGCGCGGTTAGAGTGGGAGGACATCATGTAACGTCCTCCCAGAACAAGAGAACTGCCTTGCGCCCATCATTACCTTATATTGCGGGTGGGAGGCGGCTTAACATGGCATTCCATTTACTGTAATTTATTGTTTTTTTTTTTTTTTTTCCTGTGCGAAAATTTCCATCCACACCTACACAAGAAGATGAATCCCTATTCAAACCAAAGGGAAATTCCCTTTCACTTGTCACTGGAACAAGTGGTTCACATTGGAAGATTTCCCCTTACCTCCCTTTCAGTGATAACTGTAAGTCTTTGGATATCCTATCACTTTGCACCCCAGTGTCTATAGTGTTTAAGACAAATAGGGAAACTTTCCCCAGGGGGACACAGGCAGAAATAAAAACCGGACGGTGATCTTAACACTTATCCATTTCATCAAAATCTAAAAAATAGTTTTGGCTTTACACACTTTTAGAGCTGAACTCCTGGATAGGCATTATTCTTTATGTACTTCTTCCAGATCTTTACAGTAATCAACAGTGAAACCGGGTTTCCTGTAATGAAGACTCTTTCTCCATGTGCAGAACAACTTGCTGGGTCTTTCCCACAACTCCTTTTTTAAAGAAACCATTCTATCATAGTTTATTCTCATCTTGGTCAAAGACCTCAATGTGGTGTACAATCCATTTGTGTTTTTACAAATGGGCACTGATATTGCAAGCAAAACACAAAGGGCTGGAGCTGTAGGTAAACTCTTACACTCATTTTAGTACATCTTTTAAAATCAGTAAGCCAAAAATAGAGTACAAACTCTGAAAACTGAACCCAGGAATCTTGAAATTGAAAATGCATTTTTTGCATGTTAGTGGTGCATGGGTCTGTATTGAATCAGAGAGCATGTTCTTTAAATAAGTCATACATTAGTGTTTGCATACAAAGTTATAAAGTTGCTTTATCCATGGCTGTATTGGTCCTACAGCATTTTTTAAACTGGAAAATCAATAATGTAGCCTAATTTCCTTTGGGGTAGCTAGGTACTTGATATAGGTAGTAAACTACTAAAAAAATAAATAAATTACCACTGCTTCTTGTTAATATCAGAAGTTTTGAACAGTGCAATTCAGTATAGTTGGCATAAATTTCTAAGGCAATCAAGAGTTTTTTTTCACACCTGAAACATCTAAAGAGGGTGTATAGGGAGTGGTAAGAATCTGCTGGGAATTATGTAAACACTTTTGCTGTTGTAATGGGAGGAGGGGAGGATTTTTACTTGGGGAACCCTGTACCTGATCATTACTTATTTTTGACCCTGCACATTGTGCATTATTTACTCTTGTTCCCCCAACTTTATGCATTACTTTCTCTTGACCCCTGCACTCTGTTCCTTACATGTTGCTGGCTCCTGAATTTTGGCCATTTTCTACACCTGACCCTTGCACTCTGTGCCTTACATACACTTGCCTGCTGCAATCTGTGTCATACATGCTCCTGACCCCTATATTCTGTACCTTACATCCTCTTAACCCCTGCACTTTGTGCTTCACGTGCTCATAACTCCAGTGCTCTGGGTAGCATTGGGTATTATATAATCTTGGTCCTTCCACTCTCTATGCTGTGTTCTACAGTATATACTCCCAACCAAAGTTTTCATGCTGTCAACAGTTGCTGATTGCTAAGTGGTTCCCAACTATTTTAATAAAGTTGTCCTGTATGTTAGGCTCAGAAAAGTATTTGCTCTCTGTCTGTATTCTGTGTACAGAAAAGCATATGTAATAGAAGAGTTCAATCTTTCCTTAAATTATTGTGAGGGTTACATACTTTTTATAGTTTCAACTTAAGCTGAACTTAATTTATGTAGTTTGCCTGCCAAGTCCCTGAAATTTACCCATAAATCAGTGTTTCTCAAACATTTTTCTGTCAGGGCACCCTTTAAAAACATTGCACAATCTCAAGGCACACCATTCTAAAATGGAAAAATGAAATTATTGGTTTTGCAGCATTCGCAAATGTAGGCACCCACCATTAGAGCTGATGTATGTTTACCAAGCAAATACACTTTGCAAACTGCTACTGACTAGTATTCCAGTGTTTCTCCTCTTCCTCACTCAACTAATGTGACTCCAGTGCTGGTGGAGAGAGGCAGGAGAGGGGCAAAGAAGGATGCAGACACCTGATGTCTTCCTTATCAACCAAATTCCATCATCAATTGTTGACAGTGGCTGGCTCCCACAGTGCCCAAGGTTGTAATGCACCACAATAAAACCTGTGGATTTGTGTATAAAAAGGCAGGATTGATCCATTCACTGGTTTGCTGGAAATTGTGGGGCAATTTTTAGGCATTTTGCTTAGGCACTCCAGGATGCCTGGGCACCCTGGTTGAAAAAGGCTGGCATAAACAAATACATTTACAGTTGCAAGAAAAAGTATGTGAACCTCTTGGGATTACGTGGAGTTTTGCATGAATTGGGCATAAAATGTGCTCTGAACGTCATCTAAGTCACAACAATAGAAGAACACAGTCTGCTGAACATAATACTACACAAACATTAGATGTTGCCATGGTTTAATTGCACATAACATGTAAACATTCACAGTGCAGGGAGGAAAAAGTATGTCAACCTTTGGACTTAACTGCTTGACCCTCCTTTGGTAGCAATAGCCTCAACCAAACGTTTCCTGTAGTTGCAGATCAGACCTGCACAATGATCTGGAGTAATTTTGGACCACTCCTCTTCACAAAACTGTTTCAGTATAGCAATATTCGTGGGATGTCTGGTGTGAATCGCTCTCTTAAGGTCATGCCACAGCATTTCAATCGGGTTGAGGTCAGGACTCTGACTGGGCCACTCCAGAAGGCGTATTCTTGCTGTTGCAGTCATTGTTTTGTTGAATTACTTGTATGCTTTGGGTCATTGTCCTGTTGCATCACCCATCCTCTGCGGACCTTCAGTTGGCGGACAGATGGTCGTACGTTTTCCTGCAAAATGTCTTGATAAACTCTGGAATTCATTTTCCCATCAATGACAACAATCTGTCCAGGCCCTGAGGCAGCAAAGCAGCCCCAAACCATGATGCTCCCTCCGCCATGTTTTACAGTGGGGATGAGGTTTTGATGTTGGTGTGCTGTGCCTTTTTTCTCTCCACACATAGTGTTGTGTGTTCTTCCCAAACAACTCAATCTTGGTTTCATCTGTCCACAGTATATTTTGCCAGTAGTGCCATGGAACATCCAGGTGCTCTTTTGCAAACTTCAAACGTGCTGCAATATTCTTTTTGGACAGCAATGGCTTCCTCCGTGGTGTCCTCCCATGTACTCCATTCTTGTTTAATGTTTTCCTTATTGTAGATGTGTCAACAAAAATGTTAGGATGTGCCAGAGATTTCTGTAGGTCTGACACTCTGGGATTCTTCTTTACCTCATGCAGCATTCTGCGCTGTGCTCTTGCAGTCATTTTTACAGGACGACCACACCTAGGGAGAGTAGCAACAGTGCTAAACTTTCTCCATTTGTAGACAGTCTGTCTTACCGTGGACACGTGAACATCAAGGCTTGTGGAGATACTTTTGTAACCCTTTCCAGCTTCATGCAAGTCAATAATTCTTGATCGTAGGTCTTCTGAGAGCTCTTTTCTGCAAGGCATGGTTCACATCAGACAGTGCTTCTTGAAACCAGTAAACCCAAAACAGGTGTGTTTTTTAAGGGCAGGACAGCTGTCAGCAACACATCCAATATCATCACACTGATTGGAGTCAAGATTGGCTCACTCCTGGCTCCAATTAGCTCTGGGAGAAGTCATTAAGCTAGGGCCTCACATACTTTTTCCTCCCTGCACTGTGAATGTTTACATGTTATGTGCAATTAAACCATGGCAACATCTAATGTTTGTGTAGTATTATGTTCAGCAGACTGTGTTCTTCTATTGTTGTGGACTTAGATGACGTTCAGAGCACATTTTATGCCCAATTCATGCAAAACTCCATGTAATCCCAAGGGGTTCACATACTTTTTCTTGCAACTGTATATATTACCAAGTCTTTAAGAAAAAGGTTTTTGCAAGGAGATAATGAGTTGAGCAGATATCCACTGCAAATCATTTTTCAATTTTTCTAAAATCATATTATTGACATTTTAGGTTCTGATATTCAGATGTGCTTTTCTAATGGTTTTATCCTACTCTTTGCTCTGTGACTTAAAGTGATTCTACAGCCTTACATTTTTTTTAAAATAACAAACGTGTCTATACTTATCTGCTGTGTGCAGTTGTTTTGCACAGAGCAGCCCAGATCCTCCTCTGCTCGGGTCCCCCGCCGGCGTTCCTGGCTCCTCCCTTTTGTCAGGTACCCCCACAAAAAGCAGCTTGCTATGAGGCCACCTGCTGCTCTGTGTGTCCATTCACACACATTAGGGAAATTGTAAAAATGCAGTGTGCGCTCTCAATAATTAGCAGCTGAACATTCAAGGAAAATGCATAAAAGTCCCAATAAATATATATATAAGTAAAATGCAGCGCTATTAATATATCATAAATGGTTAAATGGATAGTGATAAGACACAGTCCAGTGAAAGGTGCTCGTTGATTCCCGGTGCAAATGGTAGAAATGCGCACTAACCAGAAGCGTATAGGTAATACGCATGTGAATATAGATTCTGAAGATTCCCCTCTCCTTTCTGGTCTGATCACGGGAATAGCTGGAAAGAATGAAGATCAAGCGCCCTCCTGTGGTGGTGTGGTCCAGCAGGTCCGAGAAATCAGTTGCTAATAGATGATTTGGTCAGGGTCAGGCTTCTACGTGGAGACACCTCTCCACGTAGAAGCCTGACCCTCTGTTTCCTGTGTAACCAGGATGACACTTAATCATGGACCTGACAGCCAACTGCTGCCCTGACAAATCATCTATTGGCAACTGATGCCCAGCCAACTGCAAATTCCGGTGATAATCCATGACCTCTTGGATTTGGAAATTAGCTGGAAGAGGGTA